AAGGAAGGAAGGAAGGAAGGAAGAAAGAAAAGATGACCCTTTCACGACAAACAATTGTCTTCCTTCTGTCTACAAGATCTAGAATAGTGAGGTGAACGTAATACATACTATACAGCGGTTTTCCACAAGAATGTTGATTTCATTATCATACTTCTCTGCTTCAGTCTTTGCCAGGCACAAGGGAGGTGTGCTGGATTTCCTAAAGAYAGTAAAACATATATCTTGGCATCAGTTTTCAAATAAGTTACAACAGCAGCGGTGACCGTGCCCAAGCTGTGTGCATGGATACCTATGACAAAAGACAGCCTTTCAATACTTACTTCTGCTTTTCCTTCTTATCGACCACAAGTCGTTGTCCATCTCGAAAATCCAACTCTTTTAAAGTATTTCCATCCTTGTTGGACAAACAAAACGTTACCGCCGTTTGCATTACTACGCGGCCACCCCAGACACAAATCGAGTCGTGTAGTTTGCAATAGACTTCTGTCAATCATTCATGTTGACGCCATTTAAACACGTTTGGATCAGTGAGTTGGCTTTTCTATCAAACTTTCTCAATCAGATATCATGAAGGGAAGTTCCGAAAGCGATTGCAAAGAGTTTGAGTACATCCAAGTAGAATGAGGTGTTTGAATGACGGCAGTCTATTGCAAACTACACGACGCGATTTGTGTCTGGGGTGGCCGCGTAGTAATGCAAACGGCGGTAATAATTCAACTATCAACTGGATTACATCAAGTGCAATCCAAGAAACTAAAAATATAAGCAACTAGTCATAATAGCCAAGAGGGAAGAGGGCTGAGACTTAAGCTAATTMATCACTAAGAACTCCAGTATGAAATATGTGCAATCATTTGAATGCGACAATAGACCCGTTTCGAATTCCAAATTACCGCTGTGTTTCTTGATTACAGACTCATTTGCACAGGGTTAGCCTCGAGTTTGTGCAGAATATTCACGTGTTCCAGTCAGGTCCGTCGAGTTTCGAAATGTTTGTATTGTTGAAGTTGTGCATTCTTTACTTTACTGTTGGTATTTGTGAATATTTAAACACTGATACGAGGCTAACCCTGTGCAAATGAGTCTGTAATCAAGGAACACAGCGGTAATTTGGAATTCGAAACTGGTCTATTCACTCCAGACATAATAGATACTCACTTGGGAGGAGTGCAATTCTTCCACTTTTGTTTTGGATCCTGCAAACAGGTTCMATCAGTCATGTTATAGAGGTAACAAGAAGTTATAGCACCAACAAAATTGTTCCTTCCTTTGTCCGTTCATTTGTCCGTTCTKCCGTCCGTTCCTTCATTTGTATGTTCGTTTGTCCGTTTGTCCTTTCGATCGTCCATTTGTCCTTCGTCTGTTCGTTCATTTGTTCGTTCGTYCGTCGTTTGTCCGTTCGTTCATTTATTCGTTTTCGTCAGTTGATTCACCTCTTCCGCGCTAGCCGTCACGTGGTATAAATTGTGTTGGATTGTGTTACGGTCACCAAGAAGTTCGTTACAACAAAGTGTTTACGACGTGACGGCTATCGCCAAAATGGTGAATTCATTTGTTCGTTTCGTTCGTCCTTTTGTTCGTTCGTTCGTTCATTCGTTCATTAGTGTTAGTTTGTCCGTTCGTTCATTCGTTCGTTTTCGTTTGTTCGTCCGTTCGTCCTTTTGTTCGTTCGTTAGTTTGTCCGTTCGTTCATTTGTTCGTTTTCGTCCGTTAATTCATTTGTTCGTCCGTTCGTCCTTTTGTTCTTTCGTCCGTTCGTTCATTTGCTCTTTCGTCCATCCGTTCATWTGTTTGTTCGTTCGTACGTTTGCTCGTTCGTTTATACGTCCGCCCGTCTGTCCATCCATTCATTCACATACACATACGTTTTGATGACATCATAATGCTAAGAATCAGCTTCGACGGTTTGATTCCTGACAAGGTACTGATTGCTATCTGCGAATAGAATGAAAAAGAGAAATTACATTCGGTTTTCTTACWATTAGTGAATGTCTCCCAAAATCTGTTACCAAGGGCAAGTTGGGGTTCTAGTTATGTAATATATGCTAAATCAATCTTACCAATCTAAAACTTGCTGAAACGATTTGCTTCCAGCATTTCACGTAAACTCCGTGATACTGATTACTCGAACCCCCCTCCCTCCTCCCACGAAATTATCGAGGTCCTCCATGGAAGGGGGGCAAAACATAAATGGAACATTTATGCTCAGGRTCTACATCAAACATAATTCAAAGGTTTAAGCGCCTTACTTTTAGTTCCCCAAGTGTTGAGTCTTTAGGAAAAGGTTTTTGTATTTCCATAGAGTTGGCACCTTTGACAGGATAGGTTATTGACAGGAGAACAGGTTCACAGGAGGAGCCAGTACGAACAATGTGTCCATCAACCTCAAACAAGAAATCATCTTATTATTAAACCTACGCCATTTGCTCGGTATTTAACTCAAATCCAGTAGAGTTGACCTTCAGAACAAACCCAAGGTCAACCAATCAGAATTGAGGAATCAACATATTTCGATTAACATTTCCCGTTTTCCATGATTCTACCAAGAAAACCCATGAAATATCAATTTTTTGATTCTTTAAATTTATCGTAAATGCTACCAGTTGAACTCATGGTGGAATTCTAGTTTATTCAACACGAGAAATCTACATTGTACTCTGTCCATGCTAGAAAAATGCTGACCAAAAATTATTGACCCATAATTCCTTTCGGGGAAGGCAGTCAACTCAGCTGAATACAGTTTATACACAGACATACACGCGTTGGGATTTCTAGAAAACGAATAAAACAAGTGCTTAGGAAAATGAGGCTCAGCCAGTAGTGTTTTATTTTTATTTTTTAAGTGGTCTACAATACTGGACAACCCTGAGAAAAAACCCTCCTCAAGGGATTGACTTAAACAAACTCTGCTCGCATGTGATGCCGAGTAAAGGAAACCCCCCCCCCCCCCCTAAAGGACACTCTTTGAAGGAATAGTAGATACCAGTAATCATCAATGAACATACCTGTTTACCATTCCAGATGAACAGTTCACAGCCATCGTGTACATGGAGGTCCATTAATGATGACATTTTGCAAGCTGGAACAAACGAAGATAAAAAAACTGGTTTTGGAAAATACTGAAAAAGCAATTCTGTAAATTATTTTTAATCAGCTATTTTTTGTTCCAGGTTCGATAAAATTCTTAAAGTTTTTTCTCATCGTGAGTGGTTACGATTGTGGAAGTGGGCGGGAGTTTTGCAATAGCTCGGTAGTTTTGTCTCGCTAATGCATGAATAATCATTACTCACTTGTGATATCTTGATACAGATGAAGACCTGCAGGAAGACGTTCAGCAGTGTGGACAATCCATTCAAAAGACCCTGTATCCTTATTATCATCATCCTTATGGAAGTACAACTGTAATATAGTATAAATACAGTATATGATCACAAAATGCTCAGGACGACGACGCTTAAATAGATGATAGTGATGGTGGTTGTGGTGGTTATGGTGTGGTGGTGGTTATGGTGTGGTGGTGGTAATGGTAGTAAAGGATCCTGATGAAAGTAAATACGTAGTTAATGACTGGTCATTACTTCCGTACCTCATTAACATGGGACAGAAATTCAGCAACAGTTTTTCTTCTGTCAAGTGTTAACARAGCAGGGTCGGTAAAGACTCCCTGAAAAATCGTTAAGAGAACTATTAGAACAATCTGTAGCAGTGACAGAATTAGTAGGCACAACACTTAACCATTGATCACCATTATCATATCAATCCAGTGGCAAGCTTGTTCCTTTTCTTTTCTTTTTTTCTTTCTTTCTTCCTTCCTTCCTTTCTTTCTTTATTCCTTCCTTCCTTCCTTCCTTCCTTCCTTCCTTCCTTCCTTTTGTTGTTGTTGCACTATTTAAAAATTGCATGCTTGGATGGGGAAAATGTGCTGGTGTCGATGTTTCTATCTCACCACCACCCAACCCACATTAACTCTTCTTACCGTTTATATCACACTGATGGAAAAGCTTTTCTCAAAAAAAGAAAGAAAGAAAGAAAGAAAGAAAAGAAAAGAAGGGAAAAACAGAATTGGATAGAATATTTCTATTTTCACAAAGAATTTGCTTGACATCGTCTGGATGCCTTACCTCTTTTGGTACAATCACTCCATCTTTGACGGTGAAGTTACAAACAAAATTCAAAAGAACAGCAATACGATTGAACTCTATGTCATACTCCTCTCTAAAGAAAGAACGTAACCACAGAACGTTTAAATAACTGCTTCTAGATATAACGTTTATTATTTAATTTTAACTTTTTTCAAAACATTTTTATATTTGCACAATCTACTTCTTGGAATGGCTTATATATTGGCTGGGACATCTTGTTTTTTTTGAAGGGAAATTTCCATTATATAAAGGCACGAAATGGTAGAACTTGGAAACACTATACATCTTTGGTTCGGTGGATAGTTCACAGGAATAAAAATATACGGGATATCTTATCAAAGGAAGTGCTTTTGTTCCATATTTAAGGGGCTTATTTTTGAAGGGCTTAATTCGGGTGAGGGGGGCTTATCTTCGGAGGTTTACGGTGTCAAAAAATAAATAAATATATATGTAACGAGTACATTCAATTTCTTACCTTTGCCGTTGAAGTTCAGCATTTTCTGAATTTATTTTTGAGACGAGCTTCGAAGGTAAAGAATAAATAAACGAATCTAAAAAATAAAGCAAAACCATAGAACAAAATCATATATCGACAGGCCATAAATAAATAAAACTAGTTAGTTTTGAAAGAGATGCACATTTCACGCCGTTATTTTCTATCACACATACCTCTAGTTTTTTTAATTTGCGGTAACTTTTTCCTCCTATAAAACAACATGTAAGCACTTTCTTTCCCAGCAAACTGTTTCTTGATATCTTGGTCAGAGATACACGAGATCTTTGAGTCATTCAAATCAAACCATTGACTGGAAAAGATAAAAATTGAAAATGAGAAAGGTGAGACTCTTCTACAACTTCTTCTACTTAAAATTAAATGATTTAATCGTACTTGTCTTACAAGGGTTAACAGCTAACAAACTCAGTTAAAATGCTAACAAATCTGCTGCCTATCTTTCCATGATCGAATAGGAATTTAGAAGATTTATAATTAGCCAATCAGCAAACGTTTTGTTCGTAGTTCAAGATTTCCTATTTCATAGTTTTCGGCTTGGAAAAAAAACGTCTTTTACTCGAAAATAAAGAAAATAAAAGCACATCCGTAGTAGTATATTTTGTCGTCGTTGGTGGAAAATATTTCGTTTCATCAAGAGATATTAGAAAACACTCGGAAACCTTCGCTGTGACAAATAATGCAGTGCGTTCCTAGATTTCAAATCACCTAGTTTAGATTGAATTTTAGATTTACAGAGAGGAAAACGGGAGAACCCGGAGAAAGCCGGGCTCGAAGCGTAAGAAATAACCACCACGCATGATGATGGCGGTTCGGGAGATCCAACCCATGACCACCTGTCCACAGTGGTATAGATTGGATGTATAGTCTAAGCAAAGCACGCCAGTAGGGACCTTTATCACAGGGCGCCAATTGATTCCCATGAGAATAAAAACCTTTGGTTAATCCATCACCATGAAGCACTTGAACGTTAGTTTACGTGGGGAAAATCTATTGCCGCATGAGAGAGGTCCATGCTACTCTACCAGGGACCGCGGAGTTAGGGGGCTGAGGGCTATAGCACCACCAATAAACTTGCCGCTATTTTTGATTCATTCGCTCATTTTCAATTTGAAAAAAATTCAGAATTCGGAGATTATTCTGAAATATTTCCCCCCCAAATCCAAAACTAGCTCCGCGGTCCCTGCCTAWTCACACATAATAGCGAGTCTGAGTATCAAACACAGAAGCAAGTTGTGCATGAGAAGTGCATACAATGACCTACTGTCTCCACCTAATATTGATAAAATATATGTTTACAAGTTTGTGCGCCGTCCCTGAAGACTAATATTTTGGGTGCCTACTCTTTTAAAAGGCTTTTTTTTGCTCCTCACCATTCATTGACACTTTTAGTATCATTAAGATCATCTACGGTATTATCACAGGCAGATAATTCGGCCAAATTCCTGCTCAGATCTGATGTGCTTTTCTCTTCACTACAGAGAGGTTCATTAGGTTGATTGTTACTGTGTCTGCTGTCCTTGTCCACGCTTTCTATGGATTTCAAGGTTACTATTGTCCCATCCACAATCTCGAATGCATCAGCACGTTTCTTGATAAACTGCATAAAAGCAAATACATAGCTCTTATTAACCGAGTGCGAGATCCGTACAGTTGGTTATGGACCGCAAATTGATCAACCATACGGCAGGTGAAATAATTTTTCAATATATTGTAAATAATATCTGTTGTAACCTTAACTTACCCTGCCGCCCAGAGTTGTGTTTTAAAGGCCTAAAATATCTGTCATAAGCCCCCAAGCACCCCCCCTCTCCCCTGCTATAAGCCAACCTTCGTATTGCGTGTTTAGGGYTTTATGGCATGGTGAGACAAAACGACAAAACGTTTCCTTCTTATCCACAATTTTTTTYCCATGATCTTGGCTAAACTAGTCTGAGCAGCGCATCCCACTTCTGTTATTTACTTACTTTGATGATATTTACTTTCCCAGAGATGACAACAATCAAAAAAAGATAAAAATAGTAAACAGATCAATTTTCTTTCATTACCTTAGTCATTGGACCATACTGCTTTTTGTACTTCTGGTTCCACGAGACACCTATTTCTTTAGCCATGTACTGTTTAGTATCAATTGAAAGATGAAAAGAATAGGTTATAACTAGTAAAGTAACATTAGAGTGATTTTACTACGTGAAAGAATAGTCAACGTTATTCATAGTTACAGAAGACCAAAATTCCATTGTTTTCTTTTCTTTTACTTGGACTGTCAGTCACTAACTTTAGCATACAATTTACTAGTACTATTATTATACTAGCTAGGGTAGAATTCGTATGACTGTGTATGGTGCACAGCTTCGTCACAGTATAGAATTGACAACACATCTTTAGGACCARTCACAGCAGATCACTTAAATAGTCATTCATTCAGAATCCTTTGACATGCCAATGGCATAGTCACGGCATGGCAAGTCCATACCATGAACTCTCATCCTTATAGTCATGTGAAATTTAGTCCATTATTAGTATTGATGGTACTCAGGCTTCAGGCTTCATCTTACACAGACTTAAACCAGTTTAATTCTCTGCAGTTTATACTSGGAATAGGATTTGATTCCTGCAACAACTTTTTTTTTCATGAAAATAGACGTCCTTGGCTCGGGCGTAATGTTTTCTCATTTCAGACCATGTGTCATTCCCTCAAGAAAAAGATTCTTCGTTTGAGTTGTTTCCATATTCCTGATCTTTCACCAGCACAACAAAGCACAACCGTTAAACGAAGAAATGATACTCTAGGGAATGACACTTGGTCTGAAATGGGAAACATTACATCCGAGCTCGCCCAAGCCGAGGAGGTCAATTTGAGGGTAACTAGTCGAGGGCCCAGTATTGGCTAGTTGCAGTCAGAAAACCTACCTGGCAAAGATCAGAAACAGATGTTCTACCACCAAGCTTTGTTACAAGGACTTGGATGAGCTGTACTGGATCAGGGTAATCATTGACATTTATCCCTACATCCTCCTTTTTTGCTGCTACAGTAGATTGATTATCCTAAAATTAAAAAAAATTAGGTTATAATAATATGAAATTGTCAAGAAAAATGGTGCTTCATAGCCATAAAATCAATTAGCATATCAAATCAACCCTGTTTTTATTGCAGCAGCTGATGGAGACAACATTTGTGAGAGGGATTATTGTACAGTCATTGCACTGTTGCCAATCAATTCAATCGTTAAAAGTATACCTATCAAGGTACATGGGAACTTCTCTAATGGCTTACTTGATTGAGGGTAGAGTAATGCCCAATTTCCCTGCCGCAACTGTATCGATTTAAGCACATAGGAATGAAAAGATTGGTAATGTTACTTACAGGAGTGGTCCATATGCCGAGATGTTCTATATCATGAATATAGGCATGGTAATGGCCACCATAGCAGCTACCTCTGAAACAGACCAGAAAAATGATCAATTAGTCTGACTGATAAACATTCTGACCCATTATTACTAGCAATTGGCCCACGCCAATGACCACACCACCACACAGATGATCTGACATGTGGTATATAACAGATGCACCAATAGATCCAGTCTATGCCACCTCTTGATGAAGACTAGTACCTTGCAGTTGAAATGTTCCTGTCCTTTCTACATGTACAAATGACCCTCAATCATGAGACAAACAGATAAGTTTATTTTATTTTTATTTTACCACTCAATCCATTGGCTAATCCAGGGAAGGTGGTTTTATGGGTTCCACTGAACCCTCCTATGGGTTCCATTGAACCCCCCTTTGTAAGACCTAAATCGCGAAGCCAATCATTTTCTTTATGCTCTGTATAATGAAATTGGAAACCCCTTTTGTGAAGCTGACCACACCAGCTGTTTCTGCCTGGCAGCCATGATTGGATCCCGTGTAATAATATCCTGGACCTGCTACACTGGACCCTGTTTCACTTTGATAGTTATAACTTACTTGTGGATCACTACTGAGAAGAGTTCATACACATCATCATCTCTCTGTACTTCACAGTACATCCTCATGTCAAGCTCAAGTGGAAAGGTATAACGCTGGGTCTCTTTATAACGTTCAAATGCCTGTAAGTCATAGGTGAACCGCACCAAGGAAAATGTCAAGATAGATGGTAGGCTTCGAAGCTTAGCTCCCTAATAACAAAAAAATTACTAGAGCTCAGAGTTGGCATGAAAAAATAGAAAACCTGTGCATATGCTGTTATAAAGTTGGTAGAAAATGAGAGAAGTGTTAGGAGAAGCACAACATGTAGCAGAGTGATTCTCAATACTGTTCTACCAGTCTTTGGCCCAGAGTAATTGGTTCACTGTTGTGGTGTTCCTGCCTGTAAGTCACAAGCAATGACAAATAAATAAATGGATGAAAAATAAACAATCTCCAAGTGTTTTAAAACTTCACACAGTACAGCAAGCTAGTTTTTTTTTATTTGATAAAATACAAATTCGAATAGTCATCATTTTGGATAAAAGTGATATTGATTAGAAATAGAAAGTGAGTGTGGTGCATGTTACGTGCTGTCTGTTCTCATAAACCATGCACCCATTACCAATCAATGTTTGATTGCTCAGATAAAAACCCTTGAAGCCAGAGAGAACCAACAAGCAACTCTACGAGTTTACATACAGCACTGAGCATTGGAGTTAAAAACCTGGTCTGCAATGATGATGATTGGTGGTGCATTTGACTTGTCTTTGAATAGCGGCACACACCATCGCATCCATGCTTCTCAAGAAAATACTTATGTCAAAAAAGCAAGCATATCATATTTTCTTTTTTACATTCTGATTAATGGAATAATATTAAGGTAAGACTGATTCCAGGTATCTTATTATGAGGTCTGGCTCATACAAGCAAAACAAATCATGCAAATGCAAGCACAAGCAATGTTCACATTACTGCACATTCACAATATACCAGAGAATAGATGAGATGAATTCTTGGCATTGCATTCACGAATTAAGAAATTTTGCCACAGCAAGAAAATAAAACATTTTCCATTCCTTGCATTTGCAATTGAACCTACTGTAACCTACTCAGCCTCTTGCTTGAGCTGGCATTTGCATTTGCATTGGTGATCATGTGACCCATGCTTAAAAATGCAGCATGTGGYACTGTACTAAAGATGAAAACATGAAATATTTATACTACTCACCCTTGTAGCATTGACCAATTTATTACATTCATCACACATGTATTGATTGCTTCCCTCCATTAACTCAGGCATAACATAAAACATCTCAAGACTCTGATTGAGACTAGTGCAGCCTGTCAGGACCATTTGCAAGTCCAGAAAGTCCTCCTGATAAATAAATAAAAACAGGATAAAAAAGATTTTTTTTTACCCCTGCCATCGTGTTCAAAAATTATCCATAACCCCCTCATGGAGGAATTGTTTTAAAGACCCCCTACCCCCTGAAATTCCATTTTTCTTCCATGCAAACTCYATAATTTTTGTTCTTTCTCTGACCCCCCTACCCTTCGAATTTCTGGAAATACACATTAACAAATGTAGGGAACTTATTACAGCTAGACGCACAAAAGTATGACTACATTTATTGTATTTGCATACTTCTATGCACTGGCTTTTTGCAACCAAACAAGCTTGTACGCRCCTTATGTGGTGTTTTATTACTCACTCTTATTCATGAAATAGTAATTCTTTTCTTAAATTTATTTTAAATTTTAAATTTTTTGAGTCACATTTTTATATTGTAAAGCGTCTTTGAACTTAAGGATATCGACGTTATATAAATTATTCCTTATTATTATTATTATTATTACAGAACCAGCCAGCTTCACATCAAAATTTGTTGATTTAATGTACGAAAGCCTGTGCATRGAAGGATGCAAATACATTAACATATAATACAGTCATATTTTTGCCCATTACACTGTAATAACAAATTCAAAGTTCAGCACCATTCATTCAGACTTGTTTGACACCATATCTTAAATACTAGTAATTCAGTATCGATCGGAGGATCGACCTTCTAGATCCCTAGAAATTTGTCATGATTGGGCGCATGTTATTYGGTTCAAATGAAGTCAATCCCAAGATAAAATCTCACCTCTCTTTCACTAACTTTTCCACAATCTTGACATGTGATCTGTTGAAACACCAAAAAGGATACTATATGACTTCTTTTTGAATATCAAACCCTAAGAAAAACTAAAAACAAACCTAAAAAATAAAAATAAAAAAACCTGAGCTCTGTGATGATTAATTCTGGGCATGGCTAACTCCCAGCTATCATAATAAGAAGTTGAGAAAATCTCAACAAACCCTGCTTAAAGGTGATGACAAGTAAAGAAATTGATGTGAAGTGTGATGTTCTGAGTGAGTGTATAGTCTTGAGTAAGACTGTTTTTGGTGGTGATTGATGTTTCAAATAATCTGAGCAGAAGTCATTTTCAGAGTCCAGTGAGAAAATGAGAGACAGGCAATGGTATTTATATCTCTGGTTCGGTCGTATAAATGATAATTAGTTGGTATTGTTATGTAAAGATGCTTGGGTGTTATCACAAGTAGGAGTCTTTTGTTTGAGGTTGTGAATGAGTCTTTTGTAAGGTGGCGGTAATAATTGTTGACTTCTGTTAAACCGTTTAACCGTCTTTTCACTGGACTATGAAAATGACTTCCGCTCAGGTTGTCGAAACATCAGTCACCACCAACAACAGTCTTTCTCAAGACTATACTGACCTGGACGATCACACTTCACAAAAAACTTTAACACTTGGGTTCAAACCATTATTATACTCTTCCAGGAATTGAGCCCCAGAGGTGAGAGATGCATTACTTGTAGGGCACTATAATGCATTGGAGTTTTAGAAAGCAAAGATTATTATTACCTTTGAGACAGAAGTTCCATGGTAAAGATTTCTTATCAAGTCCTGCCCTGGTGTACCAACAAGAGATGACTCAATTGCACTGAAGAGAATCCTGTTGAGCTCTTGAACATCATGTTGTTGAAACCCCTTTAATCAAGAAACAATAACAAGCAATCATAAAAATAAYAATCATTCATAACATTGTTGCCTATGGTATACATGTAGAACAAATGAAAAGAGACTGTGAAATATTGAATAAAACTACAACTTTACAAATGAGTTAGTGATGAAAAGAAGGATGAAAATATAACARTGTTCAACTTGGAGCAAACAATATGTTTATTATGGTAAACAACTATGCTGAAAATATGTACTTCCAGAAAATTATCCATACCCCCGTCAAGGAAAAAAATTTTAAGACCCCCCCCCCCCTTTGCCCCCAACCTGCACCCCAAGAAATTCCAATTTTCTTCCATGCAAACTCTGTAATTTGTGTTTATTCTTGGACCCTCTACCTTTTGGAAATTCCAAATTCCTCTGTGGGAATTTCTGGAACTACACAACACATGATAGAGGGACTGATGGTAATGGCAGATTCAGAATGATTTCAAAGGAATGGAATTGCAAATTACACCACTCGATTTGTGTCTGGGGTGCGGCCGTGTAGTAATGCTAACGGCGGTGAAACATTAGTTGGTTTTGATGTGATGTCATTATGAAATAGGGCAATTGAAGCAGGTGTGAGAAAATGATCGAATACATTGTAGGATGGGATAGGATGGAGAGAATGCGAAGAAATGGCTGAAATTGGAGTATTTGATTGATTGATAGGCAGCAAGGATGTGATACCATGAAATGTATGTYGGACCATGTATAGTGGATAGATAGATCAATAGAAGATTGGATGGGATGAGTAGAGGTAAATGAAAGGACTGAAAAAGGGAAGGTTTGATGTATAGGCGGAAGGAATAAGACGTGGCTTGACAGATGGATGGATACATTAGGGAGATGCAGATAGGATGAATAGATGGATGGATGGAGTGAGGGAGAGAGGAAGGAATGTAGGGAAGGGAGGATTGATGAGTCAAAGATCACCTGGTTTCCTGTCCATCCAAAGCTTTCTGTCAGATCTGAAGTACTAACACTCTTCTGATTTGACAATAACAATTGTGCAAACAAGTGCTGTAGTTCCAGAGGAATAACCCTGACCTGCTAATGGGAAAAGGAGGAAAARCACACACGATTTCAGGCTATAAGTCCCTGCCTTTAAGTAAATGTTGAAATATCATGTTTTTCTTGACCTTGCGTTTGGAATTTTCAGAAATCTCTTCTGACAGCTCACCAAGGTCTTGGGCTCTAAGCTGAAAGAGGCAGTCTATAAATAGCACAGAGAAAACAATAATGAGAATTTTGATAAATTATATTTATTTATTGTTTGATTAATTGGATAATTGGCTGACTGAGTAACTGACTGCTTGTTGATTGGCTGATTGACTGTGATTTAATGATTGGTTATCATTATGCTGGCTGGTCATTGGTTGTTTGGTTGATGGATTAATTGTTGATTCAGATTGGGAGAACGATTGGCTGACTTAAATCGATTGACAGCTTGTTTGATTGACTGGATAATTGATAAAAAATAAGGGAAACGTAAGCGTTAAAAATAATTAATGGATAAACGAAATTTCTTGTCATTAAAAGCTTATATATATATAATGCTGATGTTACTCTGATACAGTATATAAAAAAATTGGCTGGGTACTGTATAGCAGCCTTACCTCTAAATTCGGGTGTAAAAAACAACGTCTGGATTAAAGAATTTAGATAACATGTCCCTCCTTGATTGATAAGGCCACAGAGTCCGGTGGGACCACGAAGACCAGGAGGTTCTTGTACAACTTCTTTTGCCTTACTCGACGAATGACAAAGATTTTGCTTCCCATTTGTAACTGTGATGGCAGATTCTTCGTCATCTTCTTCAGCGAATAAGTCTCCAAACATAACGAATACTTATTAGAGAATTTTAAAAGAATGATTTCTCGTAACTTGAATAACTTATCCGGAATAAAAAAATTTCAATTTGCAAGTGTCGAGACTTTGTTGTTGTTCATCCGCCATCTTGGATATGTATGCAGCCAAATTCACTACTTTGGGAGGTAGGGTAGGGATGGATGATTTACGAGAGGGAAAACGAACCAAGCAAGTCTCAAGATTACCAAGCACGAAACAAATAACCACGATAAAATTGTTAATTTTATTCTTATGAAAGAATCTTTTCAAACAAGATTCCTTGTCAAGATTTTCAAACTTCCATCTATGATGTTGTCAGCCCACCCGACCCATAGTACATAAAGTTTCCAGGCCTACTCGATCTATAAAATGGCGGATGGTTCTTGGAAGGTTAACRTTATCTACTATAGTCGAGTCTAGTAGCTTTTTTTGACCAAGTATTTTACGAGTTTCGAAGGCAAAACTGGAGCAACCTATTAGCACGATCTCAGTCTTCTATTAGTTCTGGCACGACATATGGAGCTTGTTCTGAGCTACAGTGTTAATTTGCAGTGAGTAGTCAGGAGTGTAGTCACGCATGCTCCCCTTACTGGCAGTATGTCCATGTGTAGCTGAAYTATCCCATAAAAACACAATTATTGACTCACAAAAAGCGACCATGCAAGGAAATAGCCCTGAGAACGAAATATTCAATCCAGAAGACCTAACGAAGTCAGTTAAACCACCAAAAAGGTCTATATTTGGAAAAGTTGTACTTGGTGTTACAGGCGCAGTAGCTCTAGGCCTTGTTGCTATAACGACACCATTTGTCACGCCTGCTCTGCGGAAGATTTGCCTTCCTTATGTTCCAGCAACTGAAAGACAGGTTGCTAATGTGTTGCAGTTGTGTCGTAAAGGGAAGACGCATACTTTAGTAGACTTGGGAAGTGGAGATGGCAGAGTGGTAAGTTTATGGAAGTGGGTCTTTAGGGTGCGTTCATAATGTATGGCAGAGGAGGGGGGAATTTAGGGAAGATCGGGAAAATTTTTATCAGTAAAATGGGGGAGCTTGGAAATTTTTTTCAGAGAATTGGGGGGAATGCAAAATTTTCAGAAGAAGCTACGAGAGATTACCCTGGGGGGATAGTTATTTTTTGAGGGGACTTCAAGGGGGGTCTTACTTAGATTTCACCTGCCCCCCCCCCCCCCCCCTCTGCCATACATTATGAATGCAGCCTTATATATAATTTCATAATAAAACATAGTGTGTACACTCCAATTGGTTGAGAACCGTGTTTTATTAGTGTACGAAGCACAGTTGCTGATGCCATGCAGCAAATGGAGGGGGAAGGGATAAACTAAAAAATTTTTATCTTAACCTATATCCCCTCCCCCCCCCAATTCCCCCCTTTCAACCCCTTTGTATACTTGTCTCTCATATTTTTCAAACTTTCCCTACTTTGCCATGAAGTCTTTGAAGAAAACAGCATTAAAACTTCTTACAACTGATTTTTTTTCTTTCTATGAAGTAAAATGAATGAAACAGCTTTTTTCTGCTATAGCACTTACAGTTTGCAAGGCCTTGAAACAAAGGTTCCTAACACCAGCCAATCATGATTATAATTACAATGATACAACACTACTCAATTTCTTATGTTCGTGATGATGGTCCTGATGCCAGTAGCTCAAGTGGGTAGCTAATGTGGGTCCCAAGGGATGGTATAGAGGCTTTGCACTATCACATGATGGCAGCGCTGACAGGAGGCACAATAATAGAGAGTTTAAGCATCTTGTCTACAGCAAACATAATTCTTTTTCATAGACTTGTAAACCAGATTACATCAGATTAAATTAAACCCTGCCCCTGTTGTAGCTGCCATCACACGATGGTGCAAAGATGGCCTCCATTGAGCCTCTTAAGGGAGGGTCATGCAAGTCATCAAAAAATCAAACTTATTTATTTGCCAGGTTCTTGCAGCTGCTAGACATGGTTATCTAGCTCATGGAATTGAACTGAATCCATGGTTAGTGTTATACTCCAATATACAGGCCAGATGGCATGGCTTGTCCAATCTGGCTTCATTTTCTAGACAAGATTTATGGAAGGTAGGTTTGTTCCTTGAGTTGCATTAATTAATTTATTCATCAACTTTCACAATAGTTAAAGACCAATCATAATTTGTTTACTGGGTCTCTCCCTTAAGGAAGAGATCCAACGAACTCTGCTCACATGTAATGCGAGTCTAGAAATACAACCCGAGAACTCAGAGGTGAAGGCAAGTGCACTATGGCTACACTACCCTTAATTCACAGAGAACAAATTGTTAGATATTAATATTCTAGGTGAAATGGCATGAGTCATGTGATAGGAAATCTGACTTGTGCACAGTATTAGTGAGGACTATGGGGTAGTTAATAGCTAGCTTATTTGAATTTGTTTGCTTTTACAGGTCGAACTATCTAAATATGATAACATTGTCATTTTTGGTGTATCAGAAATGGTAAAGCTTATAGTTTATCTTTTATACAGTTTTCCATTTAAGATACTTTGATTTTAACATGTGGACTGTGAGGGACTCACGAGAGAAGTGTAAATAAACACATCCCAAAGCAGACAGAGTGATTTCCAACTTTTCATTAGGTGTTCTCTAAGCGTCCTAAATATTTAGATCAGATTATCTAAAATAGCAAACGGTATTGTATCTCATTTTATTATCTAGTTAGGATAGTACGTGCAAGCTGATTGGCCAAAAATGGTTCTTTATTAGTGAACGGAGTACAGTGCTGACGCATCTTTCTTTTTGTGTAAATAAATTCAATACCGAAATCAAATTAGTAATAAATTATATAATAAAACGAATAAAACAGCTTTTTCCGTGCTCTGTTCAGTTCAGTCATAAAGCACTTAGGAAGCACCGAAAGCACTCAAGAAGTGTGAGAAGCACTCGCCTACGGCTCTGCTTCTCATAACTCTTCTTTCGTGCTTACATCATTAATCCCGCGTGCTTTATTACTGAAAGGAGCACGGAAAAAGATCTTTTATATGTTAAATAAAATCTTAATATTTTAAGCAAGCGAATAATGAAAATAAAAAAACACGGTTTTATTTTCCGTATGAAAGCGCAAAGCTAGAGCCGCAGTTAACTCAGTTTTTTGGGAGTAAGATAACGATAAGTTTCTCGTAAAAAAAGATTAGTCAATCGTCTTTGATTTCCTCTTTCTCTCAGATGCCACAATTGCAAGAGAAGATACAAAAAGAAGTGAATCCTGATTGCCATGTTATAGCGTGTCGTTTCCCGTTTTCCTGGCGTCCAAAAGATTGTATCCAAGAAGGCATTGACAGTGTTTGGTTGTACAAACATCCCTTTAAAGAAAATCCATAGGTCTTCATATCTTGGCTAGCATGAAGAGCTAATGTAAAGTAATAATTTGTTGGTTTATGGATGGTCATATTGCAAACATAGGCAAGTTAAAGKAACGTTTATGAGAAGCTGAACGGACTTTTTTCCCGTAAATTTTAGCAATCTTTCTGCAGTTTGGAGGCAAACTCAGAAGCGCGCGTGTACCCATTCAACCTCCTTTTGATCATTAATGTAGCTGGGATGTCTCGAATGGATGTTTGGACAAAACTTTAAGAAGTAGCTGGGATGTCTAGGATGGATGTTTGGACAAAACTTTAAGAAGTAGC